TCCAGTCTCGCCCCCGAGCTTCGTCTTCTTCCTCGCCGAGACACGCAACAGCACCCCAGTTCGGGCGTAGTAAGTACCTCAATACGAGTTAAAAGCGGTGGTCCGTTCGGAATAAAAGAAATGGCAGAAATTCAAATTGTAAAAATTCAAGCAAAAAAAGAAACCCCATGAAAATCCTGCTTAGTAAGTACCTTAGTACAAGTCGTAAAATGAGAGAAGTTCAGAACATCGTTGTCAAAAAAATGTTGAGTTCAAAAAAAACACATTTTCTTTTTAAATAAAAATATCATTCAGTTCGATGATACAAACCATACAAGTACAGAGGCGACGATACAGTAAACCGTTGAAAATTTACGAGAAAAATATTACCCAAAAAACATAGCAAAGTCTAATTAGTGAAAACACGCTTAGTACAAACCCATGCAAGCATCAGTACAAGTACCATTTTTCAGAACCATTCGAAATTACTCTAAAAATCATAGCTCAGTACAAACATACACATATATCAGTACGACTACTCTGTTTTTCAGACGAGAAAACAGCAAGATTACTCTTAAACAGTTCTGAAGTAGAGAAAACGTTCAACATGACTAAGTTCCGAATTTTCGATAGCTATCCAACGGTATATTATTTTCCATATTTCGACAAACTTTTTAAAAAAATCACGTTCAAAATCAAATTTGACCGTATTCGAATTCGTTTTTAAACCGTAAGGAATTAGAAAAACATTTCTATACGAAAAAGTTGCGCATTTTCTATAGCTTTCCAACACCGTATCATTTGCGTCAATCCGACAAACTGTTTGCAAAAAATCGCGAAAATACGTTTCGCCCAGAATTTCACCGTTTTTCAAATTACTTTAAATCATATAGAATTAGAAAAAACAATACATATATGGAAGATGCAGATTTTCACCAGCTTTCCAACGCCATCTTATTTGCTCAATTCCGACAAACCGTTTGAAAATTGAGTCCAAAATACGATTCATGTTTTCGGTTTTGAAAAAAACGGTTTTTTCAAAACTGCTCTTAAACCATAATGATTTTGCAAAAACGTTCAATATACTTGAAATATGGTTGTCAAGAGCTTTCCATCGATATATTACACGCCCCGTTCCGACAAAGAAATTACAAAAAGTTTTTGAACTAAAGAAAACGATCTTCTAAACACAACTGAAAGCATCAGTTTAACCGCTTCAAAAACATCAGTACAACCACCTGAAACCATCAGTTCAAAAAGGATAATAGAATAATATTCTGTTATGCGTAACAGAATAGCCCAGATATATATATATATATATATAGGGAATAAAAAATAATATAACTATACAACTTTATTTAGCTTGATATGTGATTCGATTTTGATTAGGTTAATTTGGGATTAGGTGAAAGTGGTAGACAGGTATGCTTTTTTATCTTAAACAGTATTTACTATTCACTAGGTAGGGCACCATTCACAATAGTGCTCCACTATTGAATACACTATTTGAAATAGTATTCCACTATTCACAGCAATATTTAATTCAATATGATTATCTTCACGTTCTAACTTGATTATATATTTGATACAGGATCTATTATGGGCTGGCGAGGCCAACAAATCGCCGACAAAATGTACGCAGTGGTGTAAAATCCTACTCAGCACTCACCATATTTATCATTATATTGTATCAGATGTAGCTAGTTATGTTCACTTAGCAGTTTTAATTGCAAATTTATGGGGTAAATTCCTATCGTCTTCCCAGGCAGTTCCACCCGAAGGGAACACTTCTCTACGGCCCCAAGATTCTCATTCAAACGCCACTCTGGGCTACACAGAGAACTACACACGTAAAGGTTTCTCCTATAGGATCCCTAGCATAAGAACTCGTCCCATAAATTCATAAATAAAAGCACTAAGTGAAACCAAGAGACTACATCATTTCAACAACATAATTTACATATAGTTTTCCCTTTCGGGAGGCCCCGAAGGGATTACACAAACTAAAAAAAATTACCTTCTAACTACCTTCTTGAGCCTTACAATGCTCTGGATATGGTGGCTCTTATTGCAGGAGGAAAACTACTACTACTACTACTGAGCAACGAGCTTGCTAGCTGGGTCGCAGCTCTTTGCTCTATCGGTGGCTGGTGGCTCTTCTCCGTCTGGTGTTGTGTCCCTCTTCCTCGCAGCAAACATCTCCTTTTATAGGCGAGAGGGAGCTCTCTCGATGGCTTCCGGGAGAATACACCTCTTATTTTATATGTAGTAGGGATGCATGCGTGTCCCTCTAAGCTATGGATAAGAGCGAGAGATCGTGTCCCGTCAAACTTCAATCTTCAGAAATCTTTGCTTTGTTCACGTGGGCCTTGTCTCTCTGTAAATAATTGGCTGGCTCTTCTTTTCTTTTTCGCTTGCCAGCGATGCACTTCTTCATGCCTTCAGATAGGTAGCTCTTCCTTAGGAATCCTTGTGTCAGTGTATGCGTACATACATGCCAAGGCTGCTTAAATATTCAACACTGCTTATTCATTTAATTTAAATTGAATTTATCTTGCTTAAATATTAGACATTGCTTAATTATTATTATTATTAATTTTTTTAGACACACACACATACATACATTCATACATGTGTGTGTGCGCGCGTGTGCCGTGTGTGTGTTTTCCATAAAAAGTAGAAATAATGTTGTGAAGATATATCTCATTGTTGAATTAAATACATGCATATACTTTTTACTCCCTTCGTCCCAAAATTCTTGTCTTAGATTTATTTAGATACGGATGTATCAAAACATGTTTTAGTATTAGATACATCCGTATCTAGACAAATTTGACTTGATACATCCATATAGACAAATTTAAAACAAGAATTTTGGGACGGAAGGAGTACAAGAGAATAAACATATAAAGAAACATAAAATAAAATATAAAAACCCACAAAAATAAAAATGGAACGAAAACCGGGAAAAGACCCAAAAAAAACCGGCGCAGCCCACCAGCGGGGTAGAATTGGCTCTTGGCGCGGCGTGTGCTGGCTCCATTCAAATGGTGCATATTTTCTACGGAGCTTCTAGCACCCTCTCGAAGGTTCCCTCCTGTCAACCCGGACCTCTGATTCCTGGTTGGTCTGGCGTCGCGCATACATGTCCGGAAGGTCAGGCGTGGACGCGTAGTGGAGGTAGGATGGCAAGAAGCCAAGAAGAGTTTCTCCAGGAGCACGTCTGCAGGGTGTTCGTCGGAATGCCCCAGCGGACATGCCATCGGCACAGTAGCAGTGGCGGCTATGTCAATTTGCTTCAGATGCTGCATCAGGCGCACCTGTATTTTGCTTGATCCTTATTAGCATCGTTCGTCGATCTGCCGCAAATTGCGTTGCTTTTGTTGTTCACCATGCGCCGTTTTTACATGGTGGCTGGAATGCTGGCGGCCTGGCCATATTGAGCTTTGATTCTACAATTCTTTGGCTTTCTGCCTAAATGCTCGATTTCAGTTTCACTATGCCAATGCGAATTTATGAAAGTTGCTACCAGTGAGACAGTGTCAAGTATTAACACACACTGACAGACAATCGTTTTTTTTAAACCGTGAACATGTACATTATCCTCTCAAAGAAGAAATATACTCACAAGATCACTATTTACATTATGAAGGTACGACCGTACTAGTCACTGCGATGCCGTGTCCTCAGGAGGGGTGCCTTGTACAACAAAGGGGTGTCATTTCCTTATTTTCCATGTGTGTTCTGTACACGCTCTGCATTTACAAAAGTTGATCCATGTTCTGTGCTCTTCTCTTCTCTTTTGCGCCCTTCACAAGGGGATCCATGCCTGCAATAGCAATTTATTCTTGGTGTAAATGCTAGAAGAACATGAATGACACCTCATAAGATTCATGGTATGCTACTGAGTACTGACCTTGATTAATCCGGTTTCAGTTCCACAGAAAATGATGTCGTTTGCGGTGAAGATGCTCGTTATCTTACTCCCTGCAGGCAGCCTTCCAACTTTCTGCTGCTTCTCTCTCAACCATATCTGTCGGTATCAATAGGCAGAAGCATAATCAGGTTGGCAGGTTCTGTAATTTTGTAATTAAGACATCGGAGTGAAAGAGGTGTACTAGTATGGCATGACACATATTGATATATAGATTAGTGTAACCAAAATAGTGATGATAATAATAATAGTAAATATCTCTCTTCAGATAAAAATACTAATAATAAACATATTACCTGAATGACACTTGGGCTTTTATTGCAGGTCAAGTAGATGAAGTCCTCCACCACTGCCATTGCCTCTAGATTTGTTCCCTTTGGCATTGACATTGTCATCGTAGGCTTGCATCGCTTTTTCCAATCCTGTTTTCAAAGTAGTACCATGTTTAGCATTTTATTCTTCATGTGATGGCTGATGGTTTTGAGAGGTCAACTGAACATTACCTTCATGGCAGATCCTTCCACTTGAGAACCAGCACAGTACATCCAATCTTTATATACTACTATGGAGCTAATTGGTTGCTTACTGATTCTCCAGCTTCTTGTAGGCGCTCTTATCTCAATCTTCGACTCTACTGATACATCTAATTCCTGATAACATGTTTTGTGTTTCAGATACCATGTTTTTGGATGCTATTACCATCATCGACTGACAAAACTAACCTGTATACTCAAGTCTCCGCAGCCGAGGTAAGCTTTTCCCTGAGAAAGAGCTAGGGATTTTACATGCTTGCTCTTGTAAAATGTTTGGGTGCTTCTTGCTGAACAAGAGAACTGTGGAAGTAAAAGGAATATAAAGTAAAAACATAGTTATTGCTGTACATCTCATTCGGTGAGATAATTCCTGGAGCATAGGAAGCAAATGTGCACCTTCAGAACGTTTTTATGTGTAAGTACAATAAGTTTGTCACCGTAAATATCAAACTTCTGCACAGCCTCTTTTATTTGAAATACCTCAACACACTCAAGCTTGCGCTGTGCCATTTTCCATACCTGCAAAGGACCATTATTTTACCCGAACAAAAGAAAATATTAGTTAATAATTTGTGATTACTTTTCCTTTATGGTTGATTGCAGTTCCTACCCGAATAGATTTGTCAGCTGATCCGCTCAAGAGATTTTGTCCAGTTTCTGATAGAGCAAAACACGTGACTGCTTTCTTGTGCTCTTTAACCTCTCTGATGATTACGGCTCTCTGGCCTCTTATATCCCATGCCTGTATAGGAACACCCAAGTATTAGGAATTTAGTTAGCAAACTATTACACTGTTGCTCTCGTTTTAATAGATGATTTTAAGGAGAAAAACTATATACTATTCCTAATTAAGAATTAACTATTGCCATGCTAACATATGTGTGTTGCTTCTGTTTAAGGCAAATCTGTGTGCTACTGTTGACTTATGAGTTGGAAAGTCTACTGAGATATGGAATATATCATTACCCTGATGGTGCCATTGAAGTAACCAACAAAGAGCTGCCCTCTAAAGAATGTTATAGCAGTCGCTGCTCCATTGCCAGGTTGGCCAATCTCTAGGATTTGTGTATGTACACATGATACACGCTGCACTGACAACTTCAGATAATTAGATTTCATGTAAAAGTAAAGCTTTGAAAGCAGAACTAGAATCGAATAATTCTTATTACATTCGAACTATAGCCTCCAGAAAAGCCTATAGCACATCATTCTTCAGATTAGAAGGGACGATAGGGCCACACTAATAAAATTATAAATATAAGTAGATTTCCAACTTAATCTTGATACCCTCTGTTATTTAACATAGTATAAATCACATTCATTATATGTTAAAGCCGAACATGAATCATCAAGTTTTTCCTGACAGATCTGATTCAGAAAGGAAGGAAATGGGAAAAAAATAAACATGACTTCAATTTTAACAGTACTCACTGGTTTCCTAGGGAGGTAGTAGTCGGTAACTTGAAGTAGCTCCTCAGCCATCCATGTGAATGATGAAAGCCTCCTAAGGGATTCTCGTGAACCCTCTGACAAGCTCATCAACTTTTGCTTCCCTGAAGTTAGGGAAACAGATCACTTCTTTGGAACATATTACTTTGGCCATGCCCGCCGTTGACGCGTCAAAAAAAATATATTACTTTGGCCATTATTATGTTACAAACTTACGCTGGTTGATCTCTACATTTGAAACCAACATAATACGCAATGTACTACTTAGTCAATACCAATTCTACTTGAAGTCTATAAATAGGTATAAGAAAAAGAAATCCTCCTTACCTTTTCCAGAGGTGTAGTTATATACACACATGCATGCCAGAACCCTTTCATCCAGCTCACATCCCGGATGAAGGTGGTGCACTATGTCAAGCAACAATATCTCACAGGCGTAATATCTTATATCATTTTCACCAAGGGAAGCCAGCTCACTTGCAAGCCATGCGGCGCATACTAGGCAGTCGTGTGAGGTTCCCTTCACCTTGCTTTGCAATCCTTTGGCTAGCGCACTGATAAATGGCACTCCTATTCCTATAATTGCTCGTGCAAATTTGTTGCTCCATGAGCTTATTTCTGTATCCTGCATCGTATTTTACTCGTCAATTAGAACTAGTTTCTGTTATGCTAGCAAATAATGAATATTTTTATACTTGACCTGAAGGCAAGCATCCTGCCAGTCGATGCTTCTGATCATATTTCTATGAGATTTTGAGGTGAGGCCTGCTTTCTTTGATAGCCATGCAGCAGTGTAGGATTCTCCTGACCAGGAATAAGTCCCTCCAAGATTTGACAGAAAAGACGCTGCTAGTGCTTGCGCAGTGAAATTTTCTTGAGATGATAGAGATTCCAGTAGGACCTCCACTGCTTCGTCTTTGAAGACACTCCTTCCGTCTGGGTTTTCCTGCAAAAACAGGAAAATAAACTGTCATTTCCGATAATGTAAGGTCACTGCAGTGCTGTGGCTGTTTAAATACGTATTTACTTCTTTTGGGAATCAAGGGCAGGAGCTCTGCCTCATTTGATTTACAGAAAAAAGAGAAGACAAATGCCAACATAAGCTGGGAGACGGCACAGTTAAAAATGGTGGGTGCCAATGCATTGTGACCCTTAAAGTTCATTCTAGCTAGTATGCAGCATATCATCTGTTGTTTCTATGGACCAGAAGAAAAATGATTGTTCAGATCAGGAGTATCTGGGATAGTAGGAATACCAGCATATCCAATTGAAGGAGAAGATTGGCCGCTAGAACCCGTTGCTCAGGTTCAGTTTGATGGAGGCAGGCCACCAATGTATGCATAATAGCGATGCCTCCTAGCTGCCATATTTTTTGTAGCAAAGAAATTGCAGAGGACCTGAAGGTTGACACAATTGGACAAGTTATTATGGCAAAGGTTTAACAATTGAGCCTTATCAGGGTGTGGATCATACCGAGGAATCTGAAGAATCTCATGGAAATATTCAAGCGCAGCGTACTTGACACGCTGCTCTTTCCTTCTGAGAAGGTGAAGGAAAGGTTCCACTGGAGTAGCCTGTGACAGAAACTTCTTACAGTTTCCGCTAAGTCGCACACACCTGACGAGAATAGCTGCCAGGGCCATGCCTTCTTCCAAGTTGTTGTTCTTTGCAACATCAACAAGCTTAGAGAGAATAGGAGGAGAGCTGATTGTGGCCAAGTGAACATTATTCGTTACATAGTCAAATGCTGTCACCAAGATCTCAATGAGAGCTATTGATGCGGATGTCGGCGTCAGTGGAAGCAGTGTAGGCCATTTTTGGGTGGCAGTGTTACAGGCCACGTGTAAAAGTGAAGGTAACAGCTCCAAGTTTTTTATCTCAGAAGGTGAAGGATCCAATAAATATATCAGAATGACTGCTTCATGCACATCTCTCTTCAACACAGTGGCTAAATTGGATAAATAGTAGTCTTTCTTCTTGATGTCTCTCATTACATTCCTATCTTCAGATATCATAAGCACTAGAACATAGACTGATGCTCTGATCACTTTATCCTTCTTGTCTGTTGAAATGCTATCAAACAGTTGTTCAAGGATGTCTTGCCTTACTGACGGTTTGTGTCTCACTTCAGATGTATGGCTCAGAAGCTGCCATATAGTTGTGACTTCTGAGCTGGCATCTAGGCAGCTTTCTAGCCCGTCAGAAACCAATAGTTTTGATACCGCCTTCTCGAATCTTTCAAGAAAATCAACCTGACTGTTGTTCCCGCTGCGCGAGCTGGCATCGCTCCAGTCATCACTGTTTGAGAAAGGTTTGAATTTCCTACTCATGCTTCCTCGAGACACTAGGTCGGATAGAGCACTTCTCTTGATGAATTTGGTTGAGAAGTTGCTGAAGCACCTGAGATCATGTCTGGGTGTGCATTGTGGAGAAATGTCATCCTTGTTAAAATAGTTGGACACAGCGTATGAGTCTGCATTGTGCAGATCGAAGACTGAAGTTGACAGATTGTTCGGTGAGCCTTGTGATCTGCTTAATTGCAAGTTGTTTGGTTGCATCTCAGTGTCATCGACAACGTAAAGTGGAGATTCAGGAGCATATATCATTGCATTCTCAGGAGAAGTGCACCATGTTAAACTCTTCGTGTGGCATGATCTACCCAACAAAAGAATGCGTTAGGATGGCAATACTCGGCAGTATAACAGATGAAGTCGAATGCAGTAGTACCTTTCATGGAGTTTACTTGACAAGAAATCTGCATCAATAGGCATAATCTTTGCTGACCTCCCTTTGTCATGTAGAGCTGCCTGCTTCGGATTAATTAAATGCCATTAAACTCTAAGGGCTGCGCCAGCGTATCTAAAATTTTGCAGTTAAGGTACAAATTCTATTACCCCACATACTAATGCTACAAAGTTCCGCTTACATTTTTTTAGGGAAGTTCCGATTACAGTTGCAGGAAAGTATTTCACTAAATTTTACTGGATAACAGTTGTGCTATTTTTAGTACTGTTGATGTCTTAACATATTGGTCTCCTTAGGCTTTTATATTTTCTCACAAACAAAAATGTTGGACAACATTCAAATAAGGGATAGCTGTTCTTTTGATAATGATATGAAACCCCAGTACTTGTTCTAAAAAAAAAGTGAACACAGAACTGTCTTCGCCATTATAATTTGCAATTGGTGGTAGGATTTGCATGTCTTACCTCGCTGTCGCTTGCTTCGCTAGAATCAAGATGGGAGTAGAATGAAACCGGCGAGTCGGACTGGGCCTCCTCCAGCATCTCATGGAGGCACCTGCTGTCAGAGCTCCCCTTGGCATCTTCCTGAAACTCCTGATCCGCACAGCTGAGTAAGTACTTCAGCTCGGCGAAGCCACCATGACCGCCGAAGTTGGAGACGGAGGCCGTGCTCTTCTCCTCATTTCCGATCCATTGGGCCGTTGTCTCCTGCAGAAATGTCAAGTCCACTTCAGCTCTAAAACACAGGTAACTCCTCAACTCATCTGCATATACATGCCCTGCATTATACAGAGACATGTGTGCTAAAGTACATCACTTGCCTCAGAGACATTTCTCCATCTTGGAATCACAGAGCCTGCAGATTTCCCCAGCTGAAAGCACCTGTCCATGGAGGTATGTATGTATGTTACTACTATAGTAGGAGTATAGAGAAGCAGAAGGTGCTGTGCAACCATGACACCATCTACTGGTCTGTCTCTGAAGTATATATAGCAGTGTGATGTAGCACCACGCACTCAAAGATGATGTCTCTAGATGGTGTTAAATTTTGTAGGCATGCGGCTGGTGTTGGTGTGGGTCAGGATGGTTTAGTGTGCATGCTTGTCTCAAGCTGCTAGTGGAGAATCTTTGCTTTGCTTTGCTTTGCTTCAGAAACTCGTCAGGAATTTGGAGATGGCATGCCGGTTAAAAAGGTGTCAGTCAAGTTCCTTTTCGGAATCCCTTTTGCAAAAAAGGATTAGTCCTGGGCTGATCTCTCCCTCCTTTTTTTCTTTTTGCCACATCAGAGACATGCTAGAGAAAGTGCCCATGACCACCTGCACATTGTGCTCTACAGAATCAACAAGGAGAGAAAAAATTGGGCAAAGGGAATGTGGAAGGCAACTCCCAAACATCTCTTTCAGAAACCACAAGTTGGTTCTGTTTGAGTTCCGCACAAAACAATTCAAGGCCTCTTTGATTTGTAGGATTCCAGGGGAACATGAAAAACGTACAATTGAAATCCTATCAAATTGGAAAACTACAGATGTTGCCGCCAATGATCTCTAATGCTCCCTCCGTAGAGAAATATAAGAGCGTTTAGATCACTGGGATATTACACCACAAGAAAATAGAACTGTAGCAAGAGATTTGGGTTGGTGGAAACTTTCCTCTGAAACAGAGTTCATATCGTATCCTTAGGACAAATTCCTAAGGATTCAAATCCAAACCAAAATGAGCCTTAGGATAAAACAAAAACTTACGATTCAAATCCCCCAAAACTTCTGTAAAATTCGTTTGAATCGAAGATCAAGTACTCATTCGAAACGATATTCGAGGTAAGGCAGGGCACTGGAGGAGAATTATATCCACGACCCAAGATTAGAACTTCGTAGAGTTATGAATGTGATGTTTCATCTTCGGCCACTCTCAACAAAATACTGACATAACAAAATAATCGAAGCAGGTTCACCTTTATATTTGAAAAAGAATCTTCAATTGGAGAGGAAATTATTAGCAAGAAAAGAGAAGAGAAAAAGTGAGAGAGACATTGGACAAAACTGCAGCTTCAAAATCTTTTTCCATGAAAAAGGGGGACGTCCCTGCCACACAACATCACGACCCTATCATGAAAAGCCCCCCTGCTCACTTTCCAGACCCTCTCGTCAGCGTGGTGTGTGTACAGTACGATGTATACTGTATACGTACGTGTGTGCGCGTAACAGTTAATCCAGCGTATGTAGTAGTATGTGCGTACGCACGGTGAACGTGCGGCTTCCATGTGAGTACCGTCATAACTGTCTCGCGGTAAAACATGGGTGGGTTCCCACGCTCGCAACGGCTCACTCACCCGCCACCGTCCGCCGAGGCGCCGCCGTCGGGCGCGGCGGCCACGACCCTGTAGTACATCAGCCAGTCCTTGTACCGCCTGGCGGCCCGGCGCGCCGCGTCCTCCTCGCTGGCGCCGGCGCCGCCGGCGCGCGCCAGGACGGCCTCGTCGAACAGCCCGTCCCAGAGCGCGCGGGGCGCGAGCCCGCCGCCGGCCAGCGCGGCGGGGGAGACGAGCACGGCCTGCAGGAAGTGCGCGGCCATCTGCCACGCGTCCCCCTGCGCCGCCCGGACCAGGGCCAGGTAGAAGTAGGCGCACGCGGCGACGACCCGGTTGTCCCGCCCCGCCGTCCGCCCGTCCTCCGGCAGCAGCGCGGGCGCCTGCAGAGCCGCCTCGACGTCATGGAGGAGCCCCGCGTCTCCGGGCGCGTCCGCGGCGGCGGCAGACGGGAGCGAGTCGATGGCGCCCTGGAGCGCGGCGAGGACGTCGTCGTCGTCGTCACCGTCGCCGTCGGCCGACGAGGCAGGGCGGTGGGAAGGCCCGGCGAGCAGCGCGACGCACCGGCGCCGCGTGGCGAGGAGCTCGGCCGGGTCGGCGAGGAGCGCGGCGAGGTGGTGGCTGAGGAAGGAGATGAGGGAGCAGATGGAGGCGTGCGGCGGGAATGCCGCCACTGCCGTCGCTGTCATCGTCGGCGTCGCAGTGCCGGCGCCGATCTCTCTGTAACTCCGGCTCCTCCTCCTCCGGTAGGAGTCGTTCTCGGGTAGATAAGCGCTTGCATGCGCGAGAGTGAAAGAGAGGGAGACGATGCACTTGGCACGCACGGACAATGCTGGGTAGGTATGCGAGGAGGTAGCTGGTCCCGGTCCTTCCTTCCTTGATGTCATGTGGAGATAAGCGTAGTGGATTACTACTTTACAGGGGGAAGAGATTTGGTTTTTGCGGTTAAATGAACGGAAGCATTTCTTAAATGGATCTCAGAGCGGGAAGGAGTAAACAGTGACTTCGGTTGGGTAGATCGATCCTTCTTCTTCTGGGTCACAGAGGTGCGGCCTACACCTACGTCTCCGCCCCACGATTCAGAGGATAAATAGAGTACTCTGCTGGACTGGTGTCACGGGTACTCCACCTTAACTGATTAAAACATGTGTAGCAAGTTGAGACTTTTTTTAGGGAAGCAAGATAAACTTTTAGGAAATCTCGAACTGCGATCTGCAATTTTTCTCCCGCATCCGTCCACGAACGCGGACGCGGGAGGCCGCCATCTAACCATAACTGTATACATCTGTCCTCCCTCATACATGAATACGGTTGAGCACTCGATGACCCTTGATCGAGCCCTTGAAATTGAGAACATACTCCTTCGCACGCTCCGCGTCTTCGAGGACCGCGATGCATCGTCGTCGTCTCATCCAAGTACTCCTCCTCGTCGGACGACTCAACATAGTGCTCGTATATGTACTCCAAATCGGAATCCATTTCTAAAAAAAGGGGGAAACTGATTAGCTCCGACAATTCATCGAACAACAGCGGGGCATGGTGAGTGTAGCCGTAGCGGATGGTACCTGGCGGGGCGGTCAAAGGACATGGGTTGAACGATGACGAAGGAGAAGCGGGGTGGAGCCCGGCTGGAACGCTGGAGGTGACGGAGACGTAGAGTTCCGGCAGGGGTGTGGCGTGGCAGCCGAGGTGGTGGAGCGGCGGCGAAGGCAAGAGAGAAAGAAGGAAGGAGCAAAAATGGGAAAGATGGAGACGCGGTGTCCGGAAGGGTTTTGAGTGGGCCGAGGGTCTCGAAGTCCTACATGACTGGTGTCCGGACTCACGCAAAACTCCTCCATTTTTTTCTCCGGTTTACCAATGAAAACGCGTCTGGACCGCGCCGCAGACCGATACAGGCCCGCAGACCAACTTTCTAAGTGAAAGACTTTTGTTCCTCTCAAGAGACCTATGTGAGATCTCATATTAGATGAGATCTATGAGATAGATTTTTTCTATAAAAAATACAAGTTCAGACAGTTTAAAAGAATTTATAGACACACATCAATGTTTTATGTACAACCTCAAAAAGTTTCAGTTCCTAATTCAACTTACATTAATAGAAATAAAGAAGACAAAATAGATGTGAATAGTGTCAAAGTACTATTCACCCAAAGCTGCTACTATTTACATTTTTTTACCATAAAACAGTAAGGCAAAAGCCCTACTGTGTGTCATTTTTCATTATATGGAGAATAAAAATAAGTTACAATGGTTGTTGGGGGAGCAACCAGAGTTGTAGAGTCTATAGAAATAAATGGAAATTACAAAAATTATTCAGATGTTGTCTATCCAGGATGACATGCCATACTTGAAGCTGGGCTTGGCTCTCAACATAGCCAGCTTGAAAAAGTTTTAATGAAATCAAATCTGCATGAAATTATAGAGCATGGGATATCCTCAAAGATCAATCCATTTCTCTGATTCCATATACTCCAGCATCCCATAGTCATTATTTCCATGAAGAATGGTAGTTTATATCTCAGCTTGGCATCAATAATCATATCATGTATGCTCATGTCAGTGTTCCACTCAATACCAATATTCCACCAAAAAAATTGGCTGAAAGTGCATGAGAATAATAAATGAGTTCTGTCTTCCATCCCTTCATCATTGCATAAAACATAGGATGTGGATTCAAGATGAAAGCTTTTCCTGGTAAGAAGGTCGCATGTGTTTATTCTATCATTAAGCATTAACCAGCAGAAGAACTTATGCCTGGGAAGGAAGCATGTTTTCCAGATCCACTTTATAGGATCAGCAGTATCAGAGTGTCCCATAAGGAAATTATATATCTTCTTAGTCATGTGAGTGTTGCTGCCCCATTGAAAATCCAGTTGTCATTGTCAATATTTTGATTGAGGTCATTAAGTTGGTCTAACAGGCTGTGAAGTTGCTGATGGGAAACAATTGATAATGGGAGCTGGAAGAGATTATATATGTTATCCATATTTTTAGCTGCCATAATAGATATATGCTCCTGAAGAGTGAAGGAGTGCAGTTCAGGAAACTTCAGTCTCATAATATTTCCATCTCAATTATCATTCCATAGCATGACAGTATTGCCTGAATTGACTAGACAGGATGTCATAGACTTGAATAGCTCTAAAAACATGAGGCAGTCTTTCCACCAAAATGATCCTTTATTGCTACCAGGGAGTGGAATCTCATTGGATTGGTAGTAGGCTTCCCAGATCAATCTAACCCAGCGAATATCAGCCTTGTTAAAGAACTTGTATAGGTGTTTAATAAGAAGAGCTTTATTCTGTGTTCTGAGGTTGAGAACACCTAGTCCTCCTTGGTCCTTAGGTTTGCAGATCATATCCCAGCTGGCAAGGCACTTCCCCTTTTTGTTAATATCCTTGCCATACCATAGGAAATTCCTACTAGATTTATCCACATGATCCAGAATGGTGTAGTGTACCTTTAGAGAGCACATAGCAAATATAGGCATGTAAGCAACTACAGAATTGACATAAGTTAGCCTGCTAGAATGGTTCATAAATCTAGCAACCCCAGATAGCCTCTTGTCAATTTTTGAAATAACAGGAATGAGATCTTGGACATTCGGCTTTGTGGTGCCAAGGGGGAGCCCAAGATATGTGAAAGGCAAACTTTCAACCTTGCATCCAAATGTGTTTGCTAAATCAGAAATAGTCTGCAGATCAATATTAATAGGAATCATGGAGGATTTGCTGTAGTTGACAAAAAGGCCAGTTGATGGACTGAATAAATTTAAAAGGTATTTGAGATGAACAATTTGACCAGTCGACATAATCATTAGAGTGTCATCATCTGTGACACTCCAAATTTTTTTTTGTGGTTTTTGTTCTCAGCAAGAGCCTTGCTCGGTTTAAAGAAGGTCATTTAAACCCTTCTTAAAAACCTCTCTTTTGAGTTTGCCCTCTAAAAATCTTTTCTTGGATTTAGTTTCTTCTAAAAAAAACCTTTTTGGTTTTGGGCTTTTATTTGGTTTTGATCCATTCTTGTTTTACCATGCCTCTTATGGTAAAACCCCCCCAAAACCCCTCCTTCCACTTTGGAACAACCCAAACATTCTGTCCCAACTAATAAAATCCATTTTTGGATTTTATCTCATTTATTTCTTTTCCCAAAACAATTTTGTCCTTTATTTTGAGCCTAGGTAATTTGCAAAGCAAGTACCTTAATGCCTTTGAACTTTGATCTCAACTCAACTCCTCTGGATAGTCCTTAGCACCCACAACCTAGAACCATCAAGATCCACTCTTCTTCTTTTCAAAATTTTCAAAATTCACCCTCTGCAAGTTTGGACCAGATTTGTCAAATTTGGTGAAATTCATATCTCCACTTCCCCAAAAATTCCACCAAAATTCAGGCAACCCCTAGTTGCAATGAGAGACCACTCCACCAAAAACCAGCTCAAGGAAAAATCCCTACATGCCAAAATCATTCTGTCGAACACCTGGCCTACACTGTTACTGTACATCTTCAGAAAAATTCAGAGTTCAGTGTCGTTTCTTCGTCAGGGATTCAGTCACATGTTGACTGTGCATCTGTCGCGTTGCACACGGCTCCTCCTCCCTGTCCGGAGCACCACACGCGCGCTTGGCTCGTTCCTGGCGTCGGTGGCGCCCTGGCCCGCCTGCGCCGGCGTGTTCCACGGCGGCAGAACCCCCGTAGCGACCGACAAGGGGGCACCCTGCGGCATAACGTCGTTCGGCACTGCCCAAACCTCCTGAGAGCTCTGCGTGGCCATCTCCTTGCCAGCGCACGCATGCAGCACCGTCGCCGTGGCCTGGCACGCGCAGAGCGCGCTCTCTGCCGCCGACGTGCCGTACGACCGTTCCGTCAGGGACAGGCCGTAACCACCCCTGCCATGCTAAGTTAGACACTGGAATGGCACCAGTGCTTCGTCTAGATGATGCTCAAGCCTCTAATCCAACCGTCCAGCCACAGCGCCACCGTAATCGCTCGCCGGACTTATCCGTTCACGGCAACCGCCTCGGGCCGGCTATAAATAGCGCCTCCGAGCTCGCTCTCGCCCCCGCACAACTCCACCACCTCACCAGACCCCGCCTAGCCACTGGAAGAGCCTCGAGGGGCCCTTCTTCCTCCACTCCGGCCACCTCCATCCGCCTCAGGCTCCGGCAACGTTCTCTTCGGTGAGAACTTCTCCACCGCCCTGCACTTGCTCGTAGTCTCATGGCACCACTAGGAGACTAACCCCCACTCCAATTTGACCCCAGCAGCTCTCTCTGACGAGGCCCACGACCACCCGAACCGCCGTCCGCCGGAGCAAGGGCCGCCGTCGACACAGTGCTCGCCAGCGACCACCACCACCACCCACAGACGCGGAAGGACGTACTGAACACGGAGGTACCACCCGATCCCCCTGCCTCGCCGTGGATCGCCGTCGGCGACCACCGCAACTCTCGGGCGCCGTCGCGCTCTGTCTCCCTCGTTTGAATATTCAAACCTGACGGGTGGAGCCCGCCTGTCAGTCTCTCATTTCTTTTCTTTTAAATGAACCGTTTTCTGGACTTTTCTGTAGAACCCCCTGAGAGTTTTCTGTTTCATTACAGAAAGGTCCCTGAACCAAAACCCTTATATCTTTTAAACAGAAAAGTATTTTTGTTTGATTCTTTTTTTGTTCTTTTTAAAATTTTGTCTAGTTTTTTATCAGATTTATTTGAAAATTATTTGGATTACTTTTTGTGCACCTCGCGGTATTTACGTTACGTGCGTATTCTTCTTATACCGTAGATACCGGAGGAGGTGACGGAGCCGCAAACTTCACCCAGTTAGACTCCGACTACTCCAAACCAGGCAAGCATGTTTGAACTCTTGATATGATGAGTGTTTGTTGCAT